AAAAAGCGACATTTTCTTTCATTAAAAAGCGACACTTTCATCCACTAAAAAGCGACCTTTTCTTTCACTAAAAAGCAACTTCTTCTTCCACTAAAAAGCGACCTATTCAGCCACTAAAAAGTGACTTTCTTTCACTAAAAAGCGAACTTTTCTTTCACTAAAAAGCGATCTTTTTGCCACTAAAAAACGACTCTTTCTTCCACTGAAAAGCGATCTTCTCTTGCACTGAAAAGCGACATTTTCTTACAATATAAAGCGACCTTTTCTTACTCTAAAAACGACATTTTCTTCCACTAAAAAGCGACTTTTTCTTACTCTGATAAGCGACCAGTTCTTACACTGATAAGCCACATTTTCTTCCACTAAAAAGCGACCTTTTCTTACACTAATAAGCGACCAGTTCTTACACTGATAAGCGACATTTTCTTCCACTAAAAAGCGACCTTTTCTTACACTGATAAGCGCTTAGATATTAGATATTACACTGATACTTAGACTGATGAGCCACATTTTCTTCCACTAAAAAGCGACCTTTTCTTACACTGATAAGCGACTAGTTCTCACACTCGGACGGACCGAACGCCTAGGACTTCTCTCGTCTATTTGGCGCTCGACTTGCAAGCCCAGCAACTCAATCTGTTGGAGGTGACCGGATTCCTGTTATTTATTGGTGAGAACTTTCTTAGTTCAACATGGTCAATAGAGAACAAATTTTTGGAGAAAGCACCGCGAATGATGAATAAAATTTTTTTGAGTAATCTCATCATTTTGGCTGGACATTAACGCATCTTATTCTAAGAGTTATTGATAATAACTCCCAATAATCAATAGCGAGAAATTTTTTGATGCGAATGCGTTCTGTGAAAGTTTCATCAATTTTTAGATCACATTTGAAATCGAGTCTTTATTTGCTTAATTATTGGGAATTATTATTAGTATTATTAAGCCTAATAATAATAATTATTATTATTACGCTGAGCGCCGAAAAAATGGAAATTATATTTTGTTCCGGATAATTTCCGATGCGAAACCTCCGTCAAAAAATTGTATGAATATTGAAGAGGTAGTAAATTCATATCATATAAATAATATACTCTTAGCGTTTATATACATAAATCAAACACATTAACTTCACAGCTAATGATATGAAATTTCACTGCAGATTTTGAAATGCACAATAAATGCGCTTTTAAAAAAAATTGAGCTGCAGGCTGCTCACAACTACGGTGTACTAGTGACTTCTTCAATGAATTTCTGATTTTTCAGTACACTTTTTATAATAAAAATTAATAATTACAAACAATAATTAATTACAAATAATTAATTCAATTCATTAATAATTACAAATAACTAATTCGATTTTAGCCTTGCAGATTCTCAATTGGAAAACTAGGCACTTAAGCGTCGTAACTTTAATGACAAGAAATTCTTAAGGAAAATTGAAAAATGAGCAAAAATTGATTGGTTTGAAGATTAAATTTATCGAATAATTAATTAAAAGTTCGAATAGACTGCAATAAAGGACATTCCAGGACCATCGTCCATCGGGAGAGCTGAGGCATCTTGATGAGCGCAGTCCATCTCCTGCAGTGCTCACTCAGAAAGATATATGGCTCATATTAACCGAATAGTGACGCACTTTCTCGTCCACAGCACGAGCAGTGAGTGGACATTGAAACGCCTCCTCTTTACATGGCTAAACTGGGTCACGATGACCCACAAAAAGGCAAAAGTGTATCGTTATTTCGACAGCCTCATTCCTTATATCGCATCCCGCGCATCGCCGGCCACACGACGGGCGCCAAAATTACCGAACTTCGCTTTTTTAAAATTTTTTTATAATTTTCAAGCTAGAAATTTCAAGCTTATCTTGAACGTTCAAGATAAAAAATAAATGACAGTCAATACTTTGGTTAGCAGCTGACAATTCAATAGTTATCACTCAATTCGTATTAATTTCCGACTCGATAGAAAAGCACAAGAAAATGTGTTTTTCTCGTGGTCCTTTCATTATTGCAGAATCTTCAATAAATTGCTTCAAATTTCTTGTGCAGTCCACAGATAAATTAAAATGTGAGAGTCAAGAGACAAGATCTCAAAGCTCCGGACACACCCACACCACACAACCTCTTCTACCGAGCGCTGGGGCGGCACTAAAGCTGTGAACGTTGAAGTGTCGGCACCGCGGGGGCCATGACGGGTATATGAGGGGGTAGAGGGGGGTGATGGGTATAGTTATGGGGTAGAGGGGAATTATGGGTATGGTTATGGGGTAGAAGGGAATGATGGGTATAGTTATGGGGTAGAGGGAATGATGGGTATAGTTATGGGGTAGAGGGGAATGATGGGTATAGTTATGGGGTAGAGGGGGGTGATGGGTATAGTTATGGGGTAGAGGGGAATGATGGGTATGGTTATGGGTAGAGGGGGATGATGGGTATAGTTATGGGGTAGAGGGGAATGATGGGTATAGTTATGGGGTAGAGGCTGATGATGGNATTAGACCATATAGGCCTGTCGCCGAATCTTAACATTGCAGAACATCTACAGCTTGTTAATGGTTTTTCTCAGCTGGTTTTCCAGTGCAAACGCTGGTTCGGAACGCTAAGTTAGGTGTGCGTGAAAAGGGTGCGTGAACTTGGCCTTTAACGCTATACGTAGAAATGAAGCGGTCAAAAAAATTCTGAAATTGCTCGCAGGAGCGTATTGTTAATGACTGGGCAGTAAATCTATCTATTGAGCCTTCGCTTCATTTACGCGCGCAATTAACATCGTCGCCCAACATAAACAAACCGCGTGATTACCGCGCCTACGTCTGTCTCTTATACACATCTAGATGTGTATAAGAGACAGACTCTGCTCTCGTCGCTGATACCTACAAGACTGTGCCATCCCTGGGCGCAACTCAGCCAAGCGACTCCTCTGTTCACGCAGGTTTGACGAGGGCATCCAGCGATATCCACAACAGAGTTTCAGCTGCAAACTTCAACGTAGATGGCAATTTTAGAGGGAGTGCCACCAAGCCACATGGCGGTGCTGCCATGTTCGAAACCTCGCAACTTGCTGGCGTTGCTGTGGATTCTAAGAGTTCGTTGCTACCCATGCAGTACGACCTGTCTCTTATACACATCTAGATGTGTATAAGAGACAGTATGTGGACTTAACGATACAATTGCCGAATATATAATAATTGCAGGATTAATTGCTGTTAACTAAGCGGTCAACGACTAAAAGTTAGCTCGTCGCCGTGAAGCACTATACTGAGTACCATTTACATGCATATTCTCTATTGAATTTACAGATTTATTATGTTAAATTCTTCGGGCGTACAGCAAGAGAGTAATGGTTTTTCATTTTATTTAGCCATGAATCTGCATTAAATCAATTTGTCCAAAATTCCCTTTCTTTTGTCTTGAAAAATCTCAAGGAAGACAACTGAGAAGGCAAAGGCGAGGAAATTTTTTTAGACTAATCAAGAAGCGAGGACAACGAATGAATTTATACCGTTTAAGCCATAAATTTTAAGAAATGTACAAATGTGCGAAATGTTCAAGAAATGGTTCTTATTAACCGACTTCATCGGTTATAAATTTATCGGATCAAAACATCAACAATTTTTCTCTGCACCCAAAAAATAAATTAAGATGTTGCCGTATGTAACTAAAGTCCGCTCACTCAGCCTTCTTCCAAGTCTGGAGAGCCTTCACAAACTCTCGACACGAGTTCTCGGAGCTCAAGTTTATTAGCCCAACTTTGTGCTCAAGCGAAACAGCTTTGGCATTGAACGGCCGACACCAACAGAGATGTTCTTCAAGCCATTTTTCAACTTCGTAATTTAAAACTCTTCGCAAAAAAATTACGTCTATGATCAGAATTTTGTCCGCGTGTAATTTAAACCGCTCCCTAAAGAAACTCCAACAAACAAGTTTTGTAGCCAGTACCCTTGTGCTTAAAATTTTGACCTCATACATATTTAGCCAAACAATGATCGTAAGATCTCAAAAGATTCTCCTAGCTTGTTTATCCCGTCTCTCGTTACCGTCACATGTAACGTCACCACGTCTCGAACTTCACCCCCCTGTCCAGCACCGTGTCAGGCCCGCACGCTGTGACTTATTATGTCATCAGTAGCCACGGCATCCTTATAAAAGGGTGCGTGACACACGGTTTTATCTCTCAGAGTTAAAGGGGCGACTGCATTAAAGTTGTAGCCTTATTTGGTGCTGTAGCTATTTCGCTGCTGCCCGTGCTGCTGCAGTGGCACTGCTGTGCAGCCGCTGGTGCTGTGGAGCTGCTGGTGCTGTGGAGCTGCTGGTGCTGCTGGTGCTGTGATGCTTCTCACTTCACTCAAAAGGTCGCTGGAGCAAATTTTTCAGCTGCTGCCGTCAGTGCTGCTGTCCGCGGTAATGCCATTGCCGCTGTTGCTGATCTCGCAAGTTCTTATGAATTTTTATGCAAAGTTAACTACCGTATGATGCTATAAAAGCTACCGTATGATTAATTAAAAAAACTGATCAAAATTGCGAGGGTCTGGATCAATTCATAGAATTTTAGATGTGCATTAAAATTTACTCATGGGACTAAATATGTTGGAGAATTAGAACGCACTTGCACGAGAATTTCTAATTGAACAAAAGAACACAAACAAAAACAAGTGTGTAAACATGAACACCGCACGCAATGCCGACACAAGGCTCACAATGCACAACAATAACGGGAACAGGAAATTCGTAACAAATTTACGAAGGATTTGGAAATAACAAAATCGTACCTGCAGGAATTGCAGAACAAAAATGAACTAAATCAATAATGCGTGGAATTAATGGATAGGAAGTGGAGATAAATTTTTCATTCTGCATCGGAAGTAGCAGTAGTAATTAGTAATAAAAATTAATGCATAACCTGATTGTGAATTGGTATACGAAATTTATTTTAACGATTTACTCCAACACTTTCATTATTGAAATACGAGCTGATTAGTTTTAGAGAAGAGTTGAGGAAATGTTTCTGTATTGAATTGAACAAAAATCTTCGAACTTAAGACAGATGATTTTCACAGGTTGGTGTAGGACGAGGCCGACGACACCTGCTCTGACGTGGGCACGGCCACAGGCATCAAATTGACGCGTGAGTACGAAGCTGAGGCGTTCAAATAATCCTGGTATGACGCAAATGACTGTTGTTGTTGTTGTAGGGTTGGGTAGGCATTGCTAGCAGCGTTGTAAGTCTCGACTCTTATGGGACCAGGTTCTTGAGAATACAAAGTTCTAATAGAGCGATGCGTGGCGATCACATTAGAGTTCTGTCCAGCACAAACTCCTGTCGAAGGCACCATGCCGTACTGCATGGGTAGCAACGAACTCTTAGAATCCACAGCAACGCCAGCAAGTTGCGAGGTTTCGAACATGGCAGCACCGCCATGTGGCTTGGTGGCACTCCCTCTAAAACTGCCATCTACGTTGAAGTTTGCAGCTGAAACTCTGTTGTGGATATCGCTGGATGCCCTCGTCAAGCCTGCGTGAACAGAGGAGTCGCTTGGCTGAGTTGCGCCCAGGGATGGCACAGTCTTGTAGGTATCAGCGACGAGAGCAGAGTTCATCAGCTGGCCGGCGTGCGACATAGGAATGTTTTTTGGGGTTGACGTCAAATTATACGGAGTTGACGGTGTAGGAAAAGCCGTTGATGAAGGAGTAGCTGTCGGGAGAGCCAAGGTTCGAATCATTTAACAAGGTATCACAACTTAAAACTTTGTTCATGACAAAATTTAGTTAAACAAATGCCAGAAAAGGCGTGATGTACCACCTGCGGTATGACCATGAAATAAGTACATAATTTCAAAGTTTTTAAATGCCGTTCATAATGCGTTAGAAAATGTAATTATTAATATCATTGATTTGCGGTTTCTGTTCATTCTTAATGTTAGGAAGGTACATTATAAAAGTAAAAAATTGGCTCGTAGGTACGTTTTTTTACAAAAAATTGGTATGGATAAAATAGAGAAGCGAGTAGATGTTCCGTTTCAAAATAAATTACATTTATAGAACGCAGCAAGAAGATATACTTGTATTTATCGATATGAGTTGTGATCGAAAATAACAGTAAATAAATGCGGAAATATTTGAACAAATGACTAACCTGCAAGATGTTCTGTATATAACTTAGCAGCGGCTTGGTGTTGAATATGTTGAGTATTTTGTTGATAGTTGACTTGTTCTTGAAAGTGGCTGGCATGAGGTTGATTTGGGAACCGTAGTTGATGATTAGTTGGTTCAGGGTAGAATGATTGTTGAGTTGCCAGGAAGGTTGTTTGCAAGTTTGGTTGAGGTTGTTGGAATTGAACCAATTGGGAAGAGGTTTGATGTTCTAGTTGAGGTCCTTGAAGTCCTACATTAAATTTCTGGACTTTCATTCGCTGGATATTCCTGGCATCTGCACCAGGTGCATGATCGTACACCACTGATTCCTCGCCTCGCTGGTGCAGGACTTGGGATTGTGCAAAGGCAGCTGCCTCGTTCCCGGACGAGAATCGCTGGTCCCCCACACCGTTAACATCTGAGGTTTTGACTGGTGGAACTCCAGTAGGATTCATGATCTGGCGCTCGACCATCACTGGGGCAGCGTGATCATCATAGACTTGGTAAGAAATTGGCAGTGCAGAAGGATGGGTGAAATTTTGCGGATTTTGACGATCAGATCTTGATGGAATGCCACTGGCCCAGTTTAGGCGGTTTGAAAGCGAGTGCACCTCAATCCGGGAGTTGAACCCCACATTTGAGGGTAGCTCATGTCCATTATAGGAAGAAGGCTCGTGAGACAGTAGCTGCAGGTTATTGTTGTTCTCATCGTTTTTGTTGGCGTCAACGCTGCGCGGATATTGCTGCATGGTCGCATGTGAAGCATGAACATCATTTGGCTTCTGAGAGTTCGGAGCCATCATAGAATGACTTGGATCGCCAACAGAAACGGGGTCAAAATTATGCTGAGATGTCATGCTTTTATGGTGGTCACAGTTTCCACAATTGCCAGATTGTCCCAAAGTACGAGAAGCCTTAGCTCCAGATTCTTTAGAAAGGCCTGGAGCTACACATGGGACGGGGTTTTGCTCGCTGGGCAAAGTCTTGTCAGAATCCATTGGGGGGTGGAATTTTCGCATGTTCCGGGACATTATATAATCTTGATGAACTGCTTCAGGTCCCATTTCAAGGCACTTCATTATTTCACACCACATTGTGAAGGAGGGTTCAGTTGGACGATGGTCTTTCAAATACGGTGAAAGGTAGCGAGTTTTGTACAGATGAAGAGTGTCGGCTCTCAAAGAAGCCTCAATTCGTTTCAGGGCATAGAACAGACCTTCTACGACCCCTGAATTCAGAGCTTTCCGACGATCGGAGCAACACTGCTTGCAAGATGATGAATTTTCAGTTCCCGAAGCTTGATTTGATGGAAGCGGGAGGTTTTCTTGTAGTTGGCTATTATTTCCTCCGTTTGTCCCTGGTTCTACGCAAAAATCATTGGAAGTTGCGTTCGAACGTCGGATCTTGATTTTTAAGTTAGTTTCATTCAGAACTGACTCTTTAGAATCACTGAGATTAGAGTGAGATTGTGAGGAAGCCTCCTCTTGGGAAGACAGCTGTTGACGTTCATCCGAGTCCGACGCTTCCTTGTAACTTTTTCCTGCTCTACAGGCAGCTCGCGTGTCAGCTGAACTGGACCGATGAGACGGTGGCACTCGGCGCTGGCAGCTCTCAGAGACGTCAGGCTGTGAAGTGGGCGTTTGAGGCACAGCTGCAGGTTCCGTCAATGAATTCTCAGCATTGGAATTATCTGCGATTTCCGCAGAGGGTGTCATGGTTATGGGGACTATAGTTTCAACTAAGCTCTTCATTGCCGATAGATCTAAAGGCAATATTCCAAAGTCATGGAATTCCGTAGTGCTTGCGTTCGCGGCAACCATCTGCCGCCACGCGTCCATCAGTAAACCCAAAGTTATTTCTCTAGAAGAGCCATTGAATTTGGCGTCGTCAGAGGCAAGAATCGAGTCGTATTCTCCGTTGAGGTTGTAAAACACATCCATGCCAAAAGGCAGCCTAACTGAAGGGTAGTGACCAGGGAGGTAGTAGAGAATTATTTCTCGATGCCGGCAGAAATCCAGAGTGGCGAGAGACAGAGGCCGAATGAACTGATCTAAGTAGATTACCAAGGGCTTGTCGTTTTTCTTCGGGTCAATTTCTTCGTCAATTAGTTGCATCCATAGCATAGCTGTCTCGCAATCCATCTTTCCGTGTCTGCTGTAAAATAAATGGCATTCTTCATTTTCGGTATCCATTGTTGTTTTTGAAACCTGAGTATTTTTCACGATTACAACAGGTTTAAGAAAGCTCCCATCGGCGCTTTGACAGCAGTACAAACTCAGCATTAGAGTGCCTTCAACCTTCGGTCTATATATTAGCCTTGAATATGCGTTCTTAGCACTCTGGAAAACTGAACCGACTTCGAAACAACAGAATACATTCCCGGCATTCGATTCAACAAGAAAATCGGCAATTTCGAAGTTGTAAGTGCTACGAATGTGTTCCTCTTGCTTCGCTAACCAAGTGTCGAGGTCTTCTGGCGTAATGATAATGCCGGGATCCTTGCTGTCAATAAAATGACCTGGGACACTTGGATTCCTTTGCAAGAACTTCATGGTTAGTTGCTGTGGGGTCATCTTTGACATGAGCCTGTCACGAAGACCCAGTCTTTCGAACGCCTCTCTCAGAATATCACCTAACTGATTCCTTAGCGAGTAACATCCAATCTCAGACATTAGTTGAAGCCATTCCAGAACTTGTTGGTCGACTTGACCAAGACTTACAGGACCTCTCTTTCTGCGAATGCTAAACCCTTTTCTTCTGAGTTGCGTGCTTATAGATGCCATGGATACCCCATACACTCTAGCCGCCTGTTTCGTTGACAAGGAGCCCGCCATGACGGCTTTAACCGCAGACTCCAGCAAACTCTTCTTGTAGGGCATGGTGGCTACACGCCTAGGACTCATAGCATCCACGTACAGCTGTCACTTGACGAGAAGTACACATATTAGAAAAATGCATAAAAAATTGCAATTATAATAAACACTTTTCATTAATTGCCCAAAAGCAACTTCTGACAGAAAATAAGTATGGTTATAACCTAGAATATACAATACTTATAGCACCAAATGAGCTATGCCATTGCCATGGTCAATGAGTCATCTATTTACGGCACCACTCACTGGCACTCAGTCATCCTCCAATGAAAACGATGAATATCTAGAAGCTAATTAAAAAATATATTCTTACATAGAGATAGCTTGCATATATTGCCCACACCTAATAAAATGTACCTACCTATTTTTCATTACTAGTGCATAGTTTTAGTTAAACCCTGACACTGACAGGATACATGCAGTAAGCAAACAGTGTTTACTTACGCGTTATTAACGGTAAATATTTTTATGACAAGACAGCAACTCTACCATTGACGCACTAATGCCACCGATTCACATGCAACCACATTAACAAAATCACAGCAGTACGTTAAATTGCGAGTAGCACAAAATAGTATTACCTCTACTCAACAGTGAATTTAATATAATCCTTGTATAACACAGCTATGTGATTTCAAGCATACAAATTCTAAGTGCACAGATTTCCTACAAGTTCGAATATACGTCATAACACACGATGAATAATTTCGAACAACTGTTACCATCAGCACCACCAATTTTATAAAGCAGAGGAGAAGCACATATTCAATATTGGTTCATATAATTATAAGTCTCATCACGTAATCAATCTATGTAACTCATCATAAAAAACGCATTAACAAATAATTTCAAAGATGGCGAAACGGTTTACTAATCGTGGTCATTTTTTCGCCGCAACGTTTATCAATTACAGACATGATTTTCTTTAGCATTTAGGAAGAACTCAAGAAGGCTCGGAAATTTGATACCTATCATAATTGAAGGAGTTATGAGTGCCAGAGTTGAAAATGAAGTTCGAGCTCGCAGGCGAGTTCGCACGCGAGTTCGCTGAAGTGTCGAATCGGTAAGCAGTACTGCCGATAGTGAATCAATAATAGTGGCATAAGTGAATAAATAATGTGAAATTCAACAGATCCAAAAATTACCGTTCTCGTGAGCCAAATGAAATATTAACTTGCAAATAAAGAGACGAAAACATTTTTCTATTGAATGTTTTCAAATTTTTCTTAGATGAATAGTTTTTGACAAATTGTTTCTTTTACGGTAATGTAAAGCACACAATTCCACTCACAATTCAGTTGGGAGCGCTAGAAGCCCATCTGAATAAAAAAATCTCAATTAATTAAAACAAACGTTATGACTAAACTTTTTAGTTCACTTTGTTATGGATTATATGATGTAATAACGTCATACTTCTTACGACCAAGGTTTTAATGTCTGTGGGTGCTCTCATAACATTTTTGAAAGTTCACAAATCTAACACTAGATCTCTACATCACAACAACGTTATTTTAGAAATGTGTCACAGTTCTAATTCATACTGTATAATATACGACTTATAGTATTTTTATTTGAATTACTATAGTACATTTCATCAATAAAAAGTATGAATTCAAAATGTGTTGTCAACTGCAACTTCTTCCGTATAAAGTTAGACAAAGAAAATAACGATACGCTACGTGCTGCTGTTGTGGCACCGCTGTTGAGCTGAAGCGAGTGCGTTGTCCCACAGATTAGAGCGTGGATGCGGCGTTGGAATCCGGCGTTTGTCTAGTTTACTCTAGTAGGCGGTTAAATAAACTTGCGACTATCAATGATGACAGCTGAAATACTGTGTTTTCCAACGACATTTTTTTGTGTTCAAACTTTAGGTGGACTGTTGGATTCTAGTCCAATTGATAAGAGCTGGGATCAGTGGGATTTGACCACGTCCACGAGTGCGAATTCTCGGATTTCGGAATTGTTCAAGTTCGACTGCTGCCATCAATTTCAATGAGGCGACACGCTCACTACAGGAGCTCTCATGAGTCATGCCTAACGGTCATCCTTGCGAAGTTGCGGTTGTCCTGTGGCTTCAAGTCCACCTATACTCGCGTCCGCGTGGACAACCGGAAAAGAAGAATGACGCTCACACGCCGCTACTATAGAGTACGTAGCTATAGTCTAACGCAGCGGTCTCAGCCAGACTACTGTGACTAGCCTAGGTAGGCTATAGCCTATGCCCTCCCTATAGGTAGGCCTACTTCACTTAACTCGCACCTTGTCAGTAAAATTGTAATATTAGAGTCATGTACTAGTACTAGGTACATAGCTTATGATGTACCCCACTTTTTAGGTAGTTATAATGTTCAAAACTTCAAATAAATAAATAAAGTAGCAAAGCAACTTAAAAGATTGAAAATTTCATTTGTAATATTGAAATTTGGCAGTTCTTAAGTGAAAATGTGACTTTGACATAATATCAATAATCTAGGAATCTTGCATCCCAATTATACACTATTATTAAAAATTGCCATCAATGACAGTTTGAGAGAGACACATCACCGACACCACACATGTCTTGCCACTCAATTACTCACTCTGTCACAGGATTGGAATTTTCCTATTTGTTTCTGAAATCTTGCAGCTCCAACATGATGAATTTTTAATACAATTGGAATCTTGCAGGCTAATTGTGCACTTTTATTAACAATTAGATAGGAGGTAATTCATCTGACTAAAATCTTGCCAAAGCTCTAGTTGTGGCCTTAAAGAAAGGTAGGTACCTAGATGTCTTTCATGCTTGCCAAGTGGGCCGGTGGCCACTTGGCCAACGCTGCAGCTGCACTAGGGTAAACGTGGTATATTCCGACATCGTGGGTAATTCCGTCACCTCTCTAGTTTTTCCTTTATATTAAGCTTTGTTTTAGTTCCATGCGTTCGTTGATGGTTGAAATGGTGACGTCATACATTTGCGC